CATGGATGGCAGACCCCGGAGAAGGCTCATCCTTATGGGGGTGGAGCAGCAACGAAGAGACCCTTCCCCTAATCCCTCCAGAAGAAGATGCTCCAGAAACCCAGATTCCAGTGAAAGGTTTAACTGGACCTTGGGCTATGGAGGACAGTAACCCCTTTGTGGGAAGTTTGTGGACACCCTTGCGCCCCGGATTGGGGGAACAAGAGCTAGAGAAAGTTGTTACTCATAACGTTCCAGTTGATGTTCGAATAAATGCAGAACCAGTTGGAAAGTTTACCACGTCTTGGTCTTTATTGAAAGTGACTGACCCCCTTAATAACGAACCCTCACAGTCTTGCATGCTTGGTTGCTTTTCTCCCCCCCCCCCTTCAGCCGGAAGGGATTAATCGCGTTTCCAATGAGTCTTGCAGTGATTTTTTGGGTGATTTTTTTCCTTTGGCCAGAATGGATTAATTGCATTTCAATGGGAAATGGTGCTTCGACTTACAACCATTTCGAGTTACGTCCATCTTCAGGAACAGAGGCACCACTGTATTCTGAGAACAGCAAAATACTCCACCTAGTAATTGCAAAGTTGTTGATCTATTTACCTTGTAGCAAAAATAAAGGTATCAGGAATCCAGAAATGGCACTTGTCCTGCTGATTTCCACACTACACTGATGTAAATTTTCTTTTTCTTTCATTTAATAATCAGGCTGATGCTAATTGCAACTAATGGCCAATTATTGACAAGTTTTCCAAATTTTTATAATTAGTAGCATTAAAAAATGGGGATGATTAAGTTTTGTTTTGCTTTTTTTCTTGGCAAGGTGTGAGTCACTGCCATGTCTGTGCATGTTGGCAGATACAATATAAGACAGATTCACCCACTCACTGGCCTGGTCCCCATTCCAAGATGCCAGTATCTTTGCAAGAGAGCTCCCCATCTCCCTGGAATACATGGGTATATTTTCTTTGGAAGAGCTCTGTGTTGTGGGCTTGTCTTGTACCCTGACCTCGCTGCTGATTCCTTGCCTTATGTGACCTTCCTGACTACACTTTCAGACTTTCCCTGGTTACTTTTGTGATTCTTGGTTCTGGCTTGACTTAATATTGTTTTGGAATCTGCCTCTAGATCTCCTGTGCCTCGTTTACCTTACAACTCTGGTAAGACTATGTCTGCTGCCCTTGAGGCTAACCCCACACAAACCAGGACAACAAGGAACAACCTGCCCTACCCACATGCAGCTATTTGTGTGAAACAAACATTCAGCAGAGGAACCAGAAGTGGTGAGTGATCCAAAGAACTGTTGTATAAACTCATGAAACTACGTTAATAAGGAACTATTAAATTATCTCTGAAGATGAGCAGGAAAAGAAGAAAAACTTACAATAAACACAGCAATCCATTGGTAAATTCCCCCCTTTTTTTCTCCAGCCAACAGAATGGCACATGAGCAAGAAAATTTATAAATAGACCCATGTGGCAACATGATCTAAGTGCCCTTTAGGGGTGGAGAACCATTGATCTTCCAGATGTTTTAGACCACGGGTGTCAAAAGCAAGGCCCGCGGGCCAAATCCGGCCCCCCAGACCTTGTCTGATGGCCCGCGGAAGGGGCCAGAAGAATTACACTTCACCTGTTCACCTCCTTTGTTTTATAACAGGGCACCCATGTGGATGTACTAAGTAAATCTAGTGTTTCTGAACCATAATCACATGCATTCTCACTATTCTAGACATAAGGCCGGGGGGGCGGGACAGAGCCACAGATACAACCGGCCCTTTGATGGGGACCAAACTGCTGATGCGGCCCCCAATGAATTTATTGATCTTCCAGATGTTTTAGACCATAGCTCTCACAAGCGCTTTCAAGGGAGTGTGAGGGCTAGTCCCTGAGAATTATAGCACAAAATATCTGAGATCTAAAGATTTCCCAACATGGCAGAAATATCAGAAATGATATTTATGATGCTGTGATTTCTGTGGAAAATCCATTGTCATCTCATCCAATTCTACCATTAGGCACAGTATCTCTGTCCAAATAACCCAGATATGGAAATGACTTACATTTTGGCAAACCTCTGATTCTGAATCAGCCCACAGCTGAGTACTGGAGAAACCAGTGTTTCCTTTCATGATGTACAACCCCTTCATTTTTACTGTACTGGTGCCATTGGCACTGACAACTTCCACATAAGTTTTCCACAGAAAATGTCCACTACAACTAGCTACAGTAGTATAATAGATATTTTACCCACTACAATAGAATTTCAACGTAAGCTTTAAAAGTACATAATCTACCATATTAATCCGTTCCAGTTCCATCGTTCAGACTTTCCCTCCAACAGAACAAAATATTACTGTTCGAAAGTAACAAAGAACAAGGCGCTTTCTGTTAAAACCAGGTGATTTTCTGATAAGAATTTAAACATGGTCCTTTTTAAACTCCTTGATCTAAGATCTTTTTCAGTGTGCAACAAATTATCATCTTGGTCAGATTTAAATTACAGATACAAATCCATTGGGGAACAGGAACCTTTTTGCATTTCCCATATAACAAAGTGAAAGACCTTTGTCTGTAAGTGTCATGAAGGAGGAGCCTTATTCAATTGTAAGAATATCAAACAGTCACAGTTATCTAGGACTCTGACAGCTTTTTTCAAAAAGTCAGCACCACCACAATGATTTGGATTCTTGCAGCTGAATCCATAAAGCCTGTTCTGTATTTCTTCTTTCACTTAGACACTTCCCAAATATTTTGGATACCCATGTATTATAAAGTTGCGGCAAATTACAATAATGCCACCTCAATTTTCTGTTCTGCTTGTGGAACAATATGCCTCTTCTATCAATCAGTATAAGCGGTTAGCATTCCTATGTTTTCCATGTACCTGCAAAATGTGCACCTACCCTCTGCATAAGTGTGCAAAAATTAAATAATACCACATATCCTGCCTTAATCGAGGGCCAACTTACCTTTCTTCCAGAGGACGATGCTGGCTTTCATTCTGTGTTTTTAGCACTGTTACTACTGTGGGTTTTAACATTATTTTTGAAATCCTTTTTTAAATATTACAACAATTTATTATTTGGTTTTTAACTTAGTTTCTTTTAACACTATAAGACATCTTGATTTTTTTTAGGAGAAAGGAAGAATATAAATATTTTAATTAAATAAATAAATACTTTTAAGAATTTTTTTTCTCTTCTAATTTCATATTTTATCACTCTGTATCTCTCAAACCAAACAATAGCCAAGAAACCATTTTAGACTGAAATATTTTGGGGCTAGAATGTCATTTCTTCCCATTAAAAGACAGGCCCAAGGTATCTGCTTAGCTTTTGCAATGTCTGACTGTGCTTTCTTGAAGTTTCCTTTATACAGAATACTCAAGGAATTAAATCTGGTATGTCCACCCACCATTTGTATTTAAGTAAGTAGTTATCAATTTGGATTATGTTAGATTTAGACCAAATAAGAATCTTAATTCTTTTCTATTCCTTATGAAGCATCCAAGAGCTTTTTCAATCTGAAGTAAATTAGATATAGTAATATAAGTTCACAGAATACACTGCAGTGTTGAATTTCCAGTCATTTACTGCAGCTGGATGGACATCTCTATTTCCAAAATACAAGCTGCTTCATTTATGTAGAATCTACACTGATTAAGCAGGTAGGTGAAAATAGGCAATCTTGTTCTTCTGGCTTGAATCTGTTCCGTTACAAATCCCTTTGTGTTCATAAGTATGGAGACTGTTGCACCAACCTTAGCAGTAGTTTTTAATCTATGTTTCTGTCGTTGAATTTCTGCAGTGAAAATCTCTAACTAGAATCACTCCCAATAATCATAAATAAAGGGTGACTGAAGCGACATGTCTGATTTCTTGTAACTTGTTGACTCTTGGCCAAATACGTGATTTGTCCCCATTAAAACATGTTGTGTTTTGAGTTGACATTCGGCAATATTAGAATTCCATTTGCGTTCATCAGAGCTGCTGGATAGCTTGGTGGTTTAGGTCGTTGGCTGTGGAGCCAGAGGTCGGGAGTTTGATTCCCCCCATGGTGCCCTCCTTGAGAGGGGCTGGGCTCGGTTGTCCATAGGGTCCCTTCCAGCTCTGCAGTTCTAAGAAAATTAATCCAGAAGGACTGATTTACATATGCTAGTCACCACTGGGTGATGCAATTAGCAAGCAGTGACCTCCAGTGCATGGCCCATCCATAACCTCATTTCACAGTAAAAAGTCACTGCAATCTGGCCAATGAACATTTGGAAAGTGGAGATTCTGGATAGGATCCCCTACTAAGCCATCCAAGTTATTTGGTGGAAAACCAACATCTTTCATCTTTAAAAGAAAACAAACTATTAGAGATATCCTATCATTTGTTTGTTTGTTTAATTCAAGAAATGTATTATTACTTTGTATCTAACAAGCAGCGCAACTGGATCCATGCTCTAGAGACAGCTGTATAAGTAGGCACGGCCAGATTTCCATCGATGCTGAACATATTTTAGTGGAAAAGGCATCTATATGCTTCAGTTCTTCTGGAAGTATAAAGCCTATGTATGACTTTCAAGTGTGCATTTCCCCAAATGTATATGAAAAAAAATTGATATTCCTTCCCCTTCCCCCTGCAAGGCTGCTGTATTTGCTCTGCAGTCTAGCAAAACAAAGTAAAACAGCCTGTGGCACCTTAAAGTCTAACAAGCTTTACTTAGCCAAAGCTATCCTGGACTGCCTCCCACTTATTCAGATGTGTGGAATACTGCCTCTCTAGATAGACATTTAACACACATAAGGGGGAGGAGATAAATGTGAAACACAAACGGAAATGGAAAAAAAAACTATGGGGGTCTTTACACTAGCCATCAAGGGATATTAACAGTTCATATGGGGTGACTGAAACATATCTTATATGTAGCTGCTAAACCTATTGGCTTCATTACCTTTATCGATCCCTGAGAAGCCTACCACATAATAAGCATTTTGCCAATTACTTAAAAAGAAACTTTCTTACCCATATAGGCTGCCCAGTGCAAAGCTCTTCGGTCCTTTTTGTCAAAGGCATTAATATTCGCCCCTTTCGCCAAGAGCAAATTCACCATCTAAAGCAAGCCAGCAAACACACAGACAAAGCCCAAGTATGTTAATTGTTGCAGGCAGTCTGATAGTCCATTGAACACAGACTTGTTACTATGACAGTCAAAGAGACACCAATAATACTAACTTTTGGAGGAAAAATAATAATGTGCAGTAGTTCTCACAGCAATTTGCCTCTAATGCAAGCATCCCCACATACTCCCATTATTTAAAACACTCAGTGCTTCTAAGTAATCTCAGGCGTAGCTTAAATGTAAATCCAACTTAACTGGATTAATTATCTTTTCAGGAGGGGGAAAAACACATCTGTGCAATAATCATCAGATAGTACTATGGCATTTACTCTTCATGTATGAGACAGATTAATCAATAGACCGAATGAGGGAAAGTGGATAGCAATGGTCATAGCACACTTGCAGGAACTCCCACATCAAAAGTCACCCCAAAGTTCAAAACTTCAACCATCCGTAAGGTCAAAAGGCATGCTGATTTCACTGACTCCTTTGGAAACCCACGTTACCTGAGAGACACAGAAATAAGCCACCTCTCCAGCACCCAACTCTGGAATTTCATCTGAGGCTAGGAGCAGCCTTTATGCTTATATCATCTATGCTCCCTTAACCTAGACATTTACTGCCGGTAGGAACAATGTACAGTAGGCACAGAATTTCGTTGGGTGTTTTTCCCTTTGATGCATCCACCACCTGAATAGGCCACTGAAGAGATAACAATAGTGCCATATCCCAATGCCCGATATGTCTTCTACATATGACACGTTGAGTAACCAACAGGATACAACCCCCTTTCCAGCTGTCCAGTTGAGGCATCCTCTCCTTCCTCACCACCCAGCCAATCATTTCTGGGAACAGATGTGGAGGATTCTGGCTGTGTGCTCCTCAGCTTTTCTCAGTATTAACTGGCTGGGTAGGGGAGCGGGATGGGGTCCCAGTTAGAACAGCCACACTATTAAACCACTCACTTCGACATGGCCATTCAGAGCTGCATGGTGTAAGGCAGTGCGACCTCCTCTGTCGGAGACGTTGACACTACTCAGAAGTGGGATGATCACTTCGGCACACTTCACGGCTTTATTTGCAGCTGCTACATGCAGGGGCGTCTGCCAGTTCTTGTCCCGGGCGTTGACATCTGCAGAATGTTTAATCAGTACTTGCACTGCTTCCTACAAGGGCAACACAGTTAACTCTTACAAGTTATCATCTATTGAAAATGGCAGATTACATTCACAAATCTTGTGCTCCTGCTGAATAGCGGGCAAGTCATTTCTCTGCTATAGCATTCACATTATTTGCCACTAACTACCTGAGGTACACGTCCAAGCAACTCAACGCAGAGCTGTGCCTCCATAAATCTGAATTTTCTTCCTCTGCCACTAGGGCTTCTACTCTTTTTTGTAAGGAATAGTTTTGCATCAGTTCAAATGATACAATCGCTTGAGCCGAAGTGGAGGGAACTGTAGTTGTTCTATTTGAAACCATTCCACCTGGCTACAGCAGCAATGACTGGCTACCATTTGAATCCTCTCCTCCACCTACCGTATGCCTGGGTCTGCTTGTTTTCCTCCTCCCTTCTCACTGTGTTCCATTATGTTCTGTTCCTTTCTTTTTCTAAGCCATGGTACCCTAGTGCTGGGGGGGGGGGAGCAACAAGCCAGCAGAAAGAGAGGAGTAAATTATTAGTCAGCCTTATCTGCAGCTTGTTAAGATAGCTCTGTTGCAATTGTGCCTCCTGCAAATCTAGACAGCCACAGCAGAACTACCTTAAGCTGCAAACAAGGCTATTTGTCCATTCCTCCCACCACACGGACTCTTGCGTGGTCAGCCAAAGCAAATTCACCCTGGAAAACCCAACTTCCCAGGAACGGTTTCAGAGTGGATCCATTCACCTTTCCTCCTCTATGAAGTTGCACCCTCAGTCAGATATCACCATTACCTTAGGCACACTGAGGTATTCTTTGTGCATTTTTATTAGCTCAGCAAAGTGCCTGAATTAAAGAAAACAACCATCCAATAGGTAAGGATCGAGTTGTTATACCTTCAACACAAATTTGTATTACTATGCAGTATGATCTCAAGAATGTTTATTCAGTATTAAATCTGTTTATTCAGTATTAAATCTTACTTATAGTGGATTTTTTTCCAGTCAGAAGGTTTAGGATAGCAAATTTAAGTAGCATATTTATCTTGTTAATTTAAATTATGCAATATTAAAAAGTCAAAGCATGCTTTGCACTTAATATTCCCTATATCTATATCTTGTACAAAGAAGCAGAGAACATATTAGCGTTTTCAGAGAAAATCTCTGAACTGTTCTCTGTTGAAATGTAGTCAGTAAATGCTTGACTTCTTCTTTGTGTAGAAAACATAAGGGAAGCTGAAATGTAATGTTTCCTTATAACCACCACCAATATTATACTATTATCAGCCCGTGCTTACTCTGTACCTCTGTCCCTGCTACTACATCACTATTTTAATAAATCACAAATAACACAACAGCTCTGCAAATCTCATAAAAATAAATCTCATCCTACAGTGAGCACAAATAAAGATTTGTAAACGAAGAGGTCTCAAATTTGTTAAATTCCCCCAAGATTATTGTACAGTTCAGCACCAACTAATATATAACTTTGCAAAATCTCTCTTATCTCCCCCTCCATTTCATCCTTTTAATTATGTTAACACTGAAAACCCATTCCTTAATTTATTACGACACATTCAAAGGGCATAGGGATACAAATACAAAGCTCTCGCTTCTCCCAAGGAACATGGTCGACACATCTCACCTGTCACCTGGGACACACAACCACTGCCAGATGAGTTTTCTTCTCCTTACAAAGGGTTCTAAAGAAATGGAATGGAGGTGGGGAAAGTCCATATTTTGGGGACACACACACAGACAATGGTCTCATCATGTTCCCAGCTGGTGTAAAGAGACGGGCGGTATCATGAGATGTTTCGCCATCCTAGCAACACACACCTTATCCCAACACAACACCTATGAAGTCTCCTAACAGAAGTGGAGGCTTCCCATGCTGCCACCCCTTTCCCTCAGCAAGATGCATAATTAGAAAAAGAAAAAAACATGAGCTGCTTGGCTACATGTATTGAAACATTTAGGTAGGTGTCATAGAAAGCTACAAGGCCAAAGTGTGTTTTGTTTTGAATTTTTATTTAAGAAATATAAAAAGCGTGCATACCTTTAAAAAAAGGATAATACAACACATTAAACGATTATATAAAATGTGCTACCCTCCTCCACCCGGACCATTTGGATATACAAGCAGTTTTAACTCCCTTTATGGAGCCCCGTTCCTCTTCTAAAATTGCACTGATTCCTGTCAAGGTACACAACCCTTCCCCTTTACTAACATAAAATCAATAAATTCCTCCCAAATTTTTGCATCCTATCTGGTTTGGCTTCCTATCAACTGGGACAGTGATGATGTGTCACCTCATCCTTCAGCAACTGGTTCACCCTCCAACATTTGCACGCCTCTTTCCTGTGCCCACTGAAGCTCGAAGGGAAGCAGGGGGCAGAGCTGAACAGTCTGGGTGCAAAATGTGAGGAGATACAGCAGGAGACATGATATCGAAAAGGCCTACAATGAAAGTCAACAGGCTGCAACGGGCTAAGGAGTACAGTCTGGATTCCTTCACTATGTCACATGCCACTACAGCGCCAGATCTGAAGACAAAGAAAATCCTATATGCAACAATAATTTATGGAAAATTATAGCCGTCTTTGTATATAAAGAAAGGGGATCCATACGATTAAAGGGGCAGTGTCTCTGTGCGTCCAGCCCCATGAGGGAGGTCAAAAGGCTTCCTTGCTCCATCTCCTGTCATCGGCTTTTCCCTGAAGACACCCACTCTTCGTGTCTACATGTTACATAAGAAGAGTCCCACTGGATCAGGCCAAAGGACCATCTACTCCCCCTTCCTGTATCTCACAGTGGCCCCACAAGATGCCTCTGGGAGCACATGAGACAACTTGATAACCCTCCCCTGCATCTGGCATTTTGAAGTACAGGTACCTTCCGATACCCCTCCCGTGCATCTGGCATTTTGAAGTTCAGGTACCTTCCTTTCAAGCCTGGTAATTATACATCCCCATAATGGCTTGTAACCTGCGATGGACTTTTCCTCCAGGAATCTGTCCAATCCCTTTTTAAAGGCATCCAGGCCAGATGCCATTCCCACATGCTGCAGGCATCTAGGCCAGATGCCATCCCCACATGCTGCGGCAAGAAGTTCCACCGACTAATAACATGCTGGGTAAAGAAATATTTTCTTTTGTCTGTTCTCGCTCTCCCAACACTCAATTTGAGTGGATGTCCCCTGGTTCTGGTATTGTGTGAGAGGGAGAAGAGCTTCCCTCTATCCACTTTATCCATTCCCTGCATAATTTTATACATCTCAATCATGTCTCCCCTCAGGTGCCTTTTCTCTAGAGTAAAGAGAAACTGTGCAAGCTGGCAAATGAAGTCAGCTGAGTGGCCATATTGCCTCTTTAACTGCATGGACCACTGTCACTCCTGAACATTCAATAAATATATAAGATAAAGAGACACACTAGGGTACAGCAGACAGAGTACCGGGGCTCAACTCTTCAATAAGACACAGAGACAGTGGTGGCAGTAAAACACTCCTCTGAATATTCCACATATCTTGAAAATCCTGTTAGAATTACTCTTGATGACACATACCAGCAAGTAAGATAGCTGGACAGCTCAGTGGTTTAAAGATCTGGCTGTTGCAAGTTTGATTCCCCAACTGTACTGTTACATACAGCACTGATGTTACCTGTCTGTCATGGGTTTGGAGGGAAAGTTCCATCCTATGGGGAGTGGAAGGCGGGACATCAGGAGGAGGGGCTGTACTGTATATATATGTGAAGCCTGTGTGGTGAAGTTCAGAAGACGCTGAGAGAAGAGACGAAGCAGCAGCTGGGAAGAAGAAGCTGGTGTGGGAGTCTGTGTGTCAGACAGGGTACTACTGTGTGTCAGTACCTACCTGATAGGTTCAGGTGTCTGAATGGTTAGCCAGAACTGATAGGTTCAGGGTCTGTGCTTCAAGTTAAGGGTTCTGTGTGAACCAACCTGTGTGTATGTATGAGTGAAACTAAGCCACGTTACTATATCTTATTCACCTGATCATTTTATTTTCCCTGTGTGTTATGTAAATAAACCTTGTTCTTTTATTTGTTTAAAAATCCATCCCTGGTCTGTGTGACTTCTTATAGGGAATGGTTGGTGGCAGCTTAGTTAACGGGTGGCATATCCCAGTAGGTCTGGGTTTGTCACATGTACTTCCTTGAGTGAAGCTGGACTCGATGATTCATAGGGTCCCTTCTAGCTCTGCAGTTCTAAGATTATATAAAATAAACATGTATTTATGCATATACATATAGAAATAAAGTTGTGCTGCAAAATAGACCACAAAAGGTTTAGAATTCAGGGTTCCCCCCCTCTTTTCCTTTCTTTTTTTACAAAGCCATCTAGTGAAGCAGAGTGTCATATTCAATAGGTATCAGTAGCTCCGACATGTAAAGCAAACTGAATAGATTGCAATTCGAGCTCATAAAAATCATAGCTGTGCCTCTCAATTCTTTTAGAGTTTGATGCTTAGACTTTGCTATTGAAGGGGACAGGTCTCTGCCCCCCCCCCCCCCGCCTGACAGTCAGACAGACAGACATTCACACACTTGCATGTCTTTTCTAAGTATTTGAATTCTACTAGCAATCTCTTGGGTTGGATTTTTGCTATAAGCCAGCAACTTGGAAACCCCAGCAGAAGCCAAACAATCTTTGAGTTCTGAAATGAGCTCTGAGGGATCATGCCTCGAGGCTTGGCAAGCGCTCAGATGGTTGCGGAGGTCATTCCATCAATCACTGGAGAAAAGCCAGGTTTGCAACTTGAAAGAAGATGAAGCAGGCGGCTTCCTCCAGCAGCCAGTCCAGTGGCATGCTCTGGAGGGGCTGAAAACACAAACAAAAATGGCAATGCGAAAAGGGCTGATGACAGCATCGATGAAAATCCAGTCAGCCCTCTTTGTTTTGTGTTCCCTTCACTCACTCTCATGGGTCAGGCAAAAGGGGGAGGGGGGAAGGACAAGGATGGCGGTTCTGGGTCAATCTGTCAAAATAAATAAAGGCCAAACAAT